ATCTTTATAACCGCCATTCCAAACACACATTTTCCTTTGGCTCTCAACCAACTCCAGCAATTCCGCTGAATCCATTTCCAATCACAACATTCGTAGCACTCCCTCCAAGACTTCCACGTCGCGATCCAACAAGTTGTTCCTGACTTGCTCTCTCTCTCTGATTCTCCAACTCCACCGCAGCTGGCTTGACCCATTCCGGCGGATCCCCTACGCATCTTGTAACGGGATCAATCCATCCCTTATATCTCTCAAAAACCATATAATCAAACGTTTTGAACTTTTCCTCAATATGTAAATATCGTGCTTCCTGTCCCGGGTCCCTATGTCTTTTATGTCTTCTTCCTCTTCGCGCTTCCAGAGGCTCCTCTTCGAGGAGAATTTCTTCTAGATCGAGCGTTGCGTCGAAATTTACTTTATCTGGTGGTGGGCAGAAAATTGGATCGAGGGATTTGTATTCGAGAAGGGAAAAATCGAGTGGCCGAAAAAATGGATGGTATTGAATTAGTGCAAAGCCGTTCGGACCACAACCTAACCGTCGAGAGGTGTCGCGTTCGAGGAACTAGAAAAATGATGTATGAAAGCAGTTTAGTGAGGACCTATACAAGGAATGTGTTAAAAAAAAGCAAGCATCTAATTCCGATTTATTGCGATCATCATAAGAGAGTTAAAGAAACCACCTCCTCACTCCCACCTGCCGTGGATACGTTTCATCTACTTACACCTTGTATTGCCGAAATACAAGCTGGACTAACAGGCGGATCCATATCTGGATAATTTATAGGTGCTCTCACTATCATCTTTTTTAAATCTTCTTGATTATTACTCTCGAATGGGCGCTATAAATGAAAAAAAAAAGTTCAGCTTATTACAATTACATCAACGCTCATAGGAAAGCAATTAATTAAAAAAATTACCTTTCCGTACACACATTCGTAAAACAAAATGCCCAAAGACCACCAATCGACGGTTGTCCCATACCCACTACTCTTGAAAACTTCTGGTGCTATTATTAAAATACAAATTAATTGAGTTTCGATCTTGTAATGCTAAGAGCATCGTGACGTTTACTCTCTCCCCCCTGCTACCAAACCAAACTATAAACTTCCCCTTACCCATATATGCACATGTTCCTGAACGAGAAGTCAAATTCTTATCCGGGCGTATATGAGTAGCGATATTGAAATCTGTCAAATGTACATGCCCTTTCTCATCCAGTAAGACATTATCTGGTTTTATGTCTCTAGTAAGTATGAAAAAAAGATACGTCAGACATGTTAGTAGAAATTTCACTAAACACGAAAGGTAGCAACTTATCGTTAGATACCTGTGAACAACGTTCTTAGAATGGAGATATCTTATGGCACAGGCTAGTTCAGCTATCCAGAAGCGAATAGCATCTTCAGTAAATGCCTTTCGATTCAAGTGAAATCGTAAATCGCCGCCTATCCTAATTAAAATACGATGCTGATTAAATTCTGTGTTGCAACATTTTCCGAAAGCGATTGTTTCCTCATCCGCCATTTCCAGCCCCAATTGCCACTTACATTAAATCCATGACCATGTACATATAATCTTCATCTTGAAAAGCAAATCGCAAATTACATACGAGCGGGTGATCCAATTCTTCCAACATGGAACGTTCTCTAAGTATATTCCGTTCTGCATCTATTCGGATGCATTCTTCTTTTGATATGTATTTGAGTGCATATAGCTTGTTGTTATCACGACGTTTTACTATTCGTACCTGGCGACAAAAAAAAGGGAATGATAAAAATCAGTCGGATTGAATTTATAACGAGGAGGAGGAAGCAAACGATATTTTTCAAAGATGATAGTCTAAACCACTGACTAGGTAAAAGCAAGCGGATCAAAAACAGGGTAAAGAAACACTGCATTCCCCCAAGAGTAGATGCGTTGATTCCGTACTGACTTATTGTGTGATAGTGGTAGACTCTAAACATACCTTCCCAAAGGCACCTTTTCCGACTACTCGAAGAAGTTCAAACTGGTTCAAATTAACTATTTTAGAGGGAACGTAATTGATATCGTATATGTTATTAACGAGAAGACAATACAATTGTTTATCATTCATATGATTAATGTGCATTTTATGATATGGCAGATACTTTACGTCATTAACTAACTGCCCGCACCACCATACATGACCGATATCCAAATTCGTTCATACCTTCTTCATTAAAGTCTGCACCTGCTTTTCCATGACCTTGACCCATTGCAGACACTAGAATGGTACGCTATATGCTATTATAACTTGATATTGATGTAAAATTTTGTATTTCTTCTTTGAGATCGAGTGTCTTTACTGAGCGGAGGACGCCCAACGGGAATGATTGTTTATTGTAACTTTTGTGCGTCGAGAATAATGGTTTATTTTAAGCATGGACAATGACGATTAAGGAAACAGCGTGTGTACCGGAAAAGTCAACTTGTGGAAATGTTATTATGTTTTAAAAATTTTCCATCCCCTGTGCCACATTTCCCTTTCTCCATCGCTGACTGGTCTAAAAACAAACATATTAATATCTCATGCATAAGTTTCACTTTTTCTTTATTTTGCTCTTTCTAAACGTTTGGCCCACAAACTTTGGTGCAGAGTAATACATAAAAAATTCTTGGCCATAACTCCCATAAAAACTAACAACTCCATTGTAGTTTCCCTTTTCATCAAAGTGCCGCAAGCTATTAATAATTTCTTATTTTCAATAACAATAATTAATAATTGGATACATTCTTAAGACTATTCCTAAACCAATCTCCAACTTATGTCGCTTGCACTCTTCCGCTCTCCAGAAATTATCGCACCATCATACAGACTATGCTTTACGAATAATACTCATTGTTGGATTAGTATACATGGTGTTATGCCAAAGCTATCTTTTGTATCGAGTTATTTGCTTTTAATTTTGCTCGAATGCAACAATGGGGTCCGCTGGCCGCAAATTAAAGGAGTATTCTCAGAAGACACATAATATTTGATCGATCCTGTGTAAAATCATGTGAAAGGGGTTATTGCCACATGTCTTGGATGCAATTAAATAACTCGTCCGTAATAGTTTCGTGAGCTCGAAGGTGAGTTGTTGCAAACAGCAACCCGACATACCAATTGCAATTACTAAATAGAGTTACTCGCATTATCACAATCGAAAGAAGCAGCATGGCATTAGCCTTTTATTTTGCCTATTATTGTGACTGTGCTGATTTGTTCACGGAGATACTTCATTTTGAGCACCAAATAAAGGGAGGGAGGCTAAAGCGGAGCAGAACGTGATCCGGCATTTGACAGTTTTATTGGCTGGAGCGCAAATTTGACCAATGGGATCTACTGACATGCCCAATGATAATTAAGATGTGAAATTATTTCCGTGGCATTTAGAGTTATCAAGCATAAACAAGATATGACAATAAAATTTTGATAACCAGCGGTATTTGATTCTTTGCTTCTCTACGAACGGTCATTGCAATAAGTCGTTTCTTACCCTTAGCTATAAACTTTGCTACTGTTATCATGAAGGCAACTCTATAATTATGAGTTATCAACACTAATGGTATGGTACGGACAATTGAGAATGTATTAAATATGGTTTGGTGTTTTCAATGACTACTCTCATCTGTCGGAAGTGGTTAAGCTTTATTGATAACGCAGATTCTATTTGCGCACGGCTATCTTGTCAATCGAATCCACCACGTTGTCTGGCAATAATAACACACAAAGATGGACAAAAGTCCGTATGTCGCATATCATGCCATCATCACAGTCGAATCACCCGTAAATTCACGCTTTTCATTGCGTTCAAAGGTTTGGTGAAACGTATAATCGGTGTTAATATGGATCCGCCGACAGAAACGACTTCACGATTTCTTTTAATGATTCATATCGACTTGTCTAACATTGCAAACAGAACTGTAACAGATTGATTGATAGATTAGTTGGCGAAACGTTTATTGCGATCAGAAATAAAAGAAAGATGTTTCGGATCGTATCAAAATACGCGAGTCAGAAAGAAAAACGCGTCACCTGACTGACGAGTCATGAATAAGTGTTAAAATATGGCGGAGCGCGCAGGATTGGATTAGTCTATTTATAGTATACAACTGACGGCGCCGTTACAGTAAACTGATTAAACTCTGTTACACAATTAGATAATTGTGTTGATCTAATTGAAAACTCGTAAATGTCAATCCCCATACTTGCTGAGAAAATGCCGAGAGAGAGAATGAACTTTTTCTCTATCTGGAGAGATTACTCCACACATTTCATTTAGACATCCGCCCAGGACTTTTAAGACCTGCCCTAATTAATAACCGTCCCTCATCATCATGACCACTCTACTCTTTCGAGCTTTACAGATCTCAAACGTGCTTTCTTTCCTTCTTGCGACTTCAGTAAACATCTGGGGTCTCACAAGGTCGCCAAACAATATTGTGGACATATTCGATCAAAACCCAACCTACTTTACACCTGTAAAGATATTTGTCTTAATATTCTGGGTTATCTGGTTTTTGTCATTTGTCACGTTCGTGTTCTATGCACAATGGATCGAGGAAGTGACTATAATGGAAGTTGTCGGGAAAGGCGTTGGACTATTATTCGTGATGAGTAATGTGTTTCTGTATGGATGGGTTTGGTTTTGGGTAAGTCGTGAAAAAAAAGGTGGCAAGAGAGAAACAGGTGTGAAA